AAAAAAAAAAATTCAACTCAACTGGCTTAAACCATAAGGGAAATGTATTATCTAACGTAAAGAGAATTCCAGAGGTAGGGCAGTGACAGGGTGGTGAATTCCAGCCTGAAGGACTTCACTACTGATCCAGGTTCTCTCCATTGGGTGACTCTACTCCTGCGGTTTTGCTTTTGTTCTTAGGATTTTCACTTTGTGTAAAGAGGATGATTGCAGTATCTCCAAGCATCCCAAACAATATTCAAAGACCAAAAGGGGGAAAAGAAAGGATATTCTTTTCTCAAGCCCTTCATAAAAATAAGGAAAACCTCAGATTCCATGGTCAGAATGAACTGCACACCCATTTTAAAAATCATCATTGACAAGAGGAATTACATTTAAAATACTGTCCTAAGTTAATCAAATCCAACCCACAGGGTTGAGAAGGTATCCTAACCTTCCCTGAAGAACATGCCCACCCAACACCTCAAACCTATCAGGTGTCTGTTAGCAAGGAATAGTATCAAACAAGACTTACATAAATGGGGCATTATTCTATACTTATGCTCAGGGTGACTGTATTAGTTTCTTACTGCTGCTATTAACAAAGCACCACAATCTTAGAGACTTAAACCATCGCAAACTTATACTTTAGTTATGGAGGTCAGGCATTTAAAATGGGTCCACAGGGCTGCATTCCTTCTGGAGGCTCTAGCAGAGATTCCTTTTCTTGCCTTTTCCAGGTTCTTGAGGGTGTCTGCACTCCATGGCTCATGGCCCTGCCTCACTCTGACTTCTGATGCAACTGTCACTTCTTCTCTGTTTCTGACACTCCTGCTTCCCTTTTATAAAGACCCTTGTAATTACTTTGGGCCCAACCGGATAATTATGGATAATCTCTCCATTTCTAGATCCTTAACTTAATCACATCAGCAAAGTCCCACATAAGGTAACTTAGTCACAGGCTGTGGGGACTGAGATGTGGACATCTTTGAGGGACGTTATTCTGTCTTAACACACGGAATTTACACGACCTAACACTGCATGCTGACTTAACAATGCAAAGATAGCGATTATCTCTAAAATGTTATGTCAATTTGCTGCAATACCAATCAAAATCCTAGAAGGATTTTTTTTAAGGAAGGCAGCAGACATCTTTTTAAATGAATATGGAAAAATAAAGGTCTATTCATAGCTAAATGATCTCTGAAAAAGAAGGCCGAAGGAGCGGTGGATTACCCTGTGCAGTGTTTAGATACGCTAAACGCCTCTCTGCGATGAACACTGGTGTGGGAATAGGCAACTAGACAGTGTTTCAAAGTAGAAAACTTGGAAAACTGGAAGCGGATATATAATTAGTGGCAGCACAAATCAGTGGCAAGAACACAAACTGTTTATAGGTGGTACAGAGACCAGCTCTCTCCGTGGAGGAAAGTAAGCCAGGAATCCTGTCCTAGGTCACATAGAGGACACGCCCTTGACTTTGGGGGGACACTGTCCAAGACTCCCATTGTGCAAACTTTTTAGAGGTGACTTCCCAACGTGGAGGCAAAACTATAAATCCTGAAAGCTAACGTTCCTTGGCCCTGCAGAGCGCCCCTGCACTCCGTCCAGTACTGACCACGTCACACCGACTAGCTCTCCTTCCCCACCACACAGCTTGCTCTGTGGCCTTCTGAGGCTGGGAATCACAATTTTTTTTTTTTTTTGCATTCCCAGCAATTAGCATAGGAGCAATAAAAATGTTTGTTGAAACCACCCGATGGGTGCGGGGCAACTGTGTCATTATAGTGGGAAGGTCCGCAGTTTCAGGAAAATGAGGTGCCTCGTTATTTGGCAGGATTGCCACAGCCAGTAATCGCAATGAGACCATCTCCCAAATCAGGGAGAGCAAGATGTGCCCCGAGGCATGGAACAATGTAAAATTTCTCTCTACGAAGTAGAACATTTGACCCAAGAATTAACTGTGCCATCAGTTAGATCTTACATTTATTAGACTATCTTTATCCTTATCTCTGATTAAAATGTCCTTGTGTCATTGTTGCTTCTCTGAGAAGCCAGGGTTTTAATTACCTTAAAAAATAATTTTAAACAATGACTCAGTGTCTTCTTTCCCATGTCAAGCAAGGTGAATTTCATTAGTTCCTGTCACTACCTTACATTCAAAAGATACTACATTTGTCAACTGGGTTGACTAGTAGTTGACACTAGGCTATATTCTGAATCAAAACAACACCAAATCCCTCAGATATAAATGACATTTGGGGGACTATTAGGGAATATTGATATATACTATATAGTATTGTTAATGTTAACATTCTTAGGTTTGATGTGCACATGTTAGAAAATGTTTCCATTCTTAGGAGATGCACGTTGAAAGTCTCCAACCTTCTTTTAGACAATTCAGCAAAAAAATATATATGCCTGTAACTTATACATTATGCACATAGGAGAGCAAGAGAGTGCATAAATGTTAATTATCAGAAGCTCTCTGTTATATTATTCTTTCAACTTTTCTGTAAATTAAAAAGTGCTGGGTGCAGGTTTAAGAGAGAAAAAGGCATGATACTAGATTGTATATCAGTAATCAAAAATAAAAACCTAGTGGCCAGGCACAGTGGTTCACACCTGTAATCCTAGCACTTTGGGAGGCCGAGGCGGGAGGATCACTTTGAGCTCAGAAGTTCAAGACCAGCCTGAGCAAGAGCGAGACCTCGTCTCTATTAAAAGTAGGAAAATTAGCGGGGTGGGTGGCTTGCACCTGTAGTCCCAGCTACTCAGGAGGCTGAGGCAGAAGGATTGCTTGAGCCCAGGAGTTTGAGGTTGTTGTGATTCACTTCTGATTTATAGGAGCTATAAATTTATAGGAGCTGATTTACAGGAGCTATTTATAGGAGCTAGGCTGATGCCACAGCACTCTAGCAAGGTGACAGAGGGAGACTGTCTCAAAAACAAAAAAAAATCTAAACCATACCAAATCAAAAAAAACAAAAAACAAAAAAAACCCTCTAGAAATATAAGCCTATCATAACTAATTATGAAATCAAATCAAACAGATCTCAGAGCACTGATCCATGGCACAGGCCTTGAAATACTTATAGGTCAAATCTCACATGGGCAGGAGACTTAGTGCTGGGCACAATGGTGGGACGGCATCCATGGCACTGATCCATGGCACAGGCCTTGAGATATTTACAGGTCAGATCCCAGACGGGCAAGAGCTAGGTGCCGGGCACACTGGCGGGACGGGCGTGGGGCTCCCTGAGGGCAGGCGTTGCTGTGTCTAACTTGTTGTTGAGTCCCCAGTGCCTGGCGGTTCATTACAAAATTATAATAGAGTAAAACTGGAAATAACCAAATTGCCCAGCTACAGGGAATAACTAAGTAAAAATTGGTATATCCACCTAAATACTACATACCGACTATTTGTTGAATGAATAAATGTAGGTCATTAGCTTGCTCTCTGTCATATTTCTCTGTAGTATTCTCTCTAGACAGAAAAAGAGAAGCCCCCAGACTATAGACGGGGCTCCTCTCCTGCCCACTGGACTACCCGACCTGGGGCTCCCCCACAGCCCACGGGGGCCCAGGAGCCCAGGCAGACACAGGCTCCGGGGAACCAGACTGAAGTTTTATTTCTGTAAATGGGGAAGGAGCTAGGTATGCAGAAAGAATAAGGTTTGGCAGCTAAAACTGCATACAATTGCTTTAAAGAGTCACCTAATATAAATTGACTTGAAGTCTTAACTGTGACACTCCAGTCCCAACAAAGGGCCTGGTACCACAGTGAGAGGCTGCAGAATAGACATGACGGAAGCCCTTTCTGGGTAGAGTCACCATTCCTTTCTAGGCTTTCCTTTGAAATTACACGGGCCAACACTTGTCTTCTAAAGTGGCCCTGGAGATGCTGTAATCCAACCACTTCTCTTTCTGCAACAAGAAATCTAGGGGGAAGGAAAGAAGACTAAACACTCTTTCCCTCCAAAAATCCCAAAAAGATAAATAAAGAGAAAAATGCTTTTCAACATGAACACTTTATTTTGAACTTTTAAAATACATACATCTTATACTGCAGTTACTCAAAATGAAGCTTAAGAAAATAAATTCCCGCCTCCTTTAGCCCGGACTTACACTGGGTACCCGGTCCTGTGGCCCCCGGGGGTGACGGGCCGGCGCAGGGGCTCGTCCACGCTCCACTGCACACTGGCCAGCCCCTTCCGCCTCACCTTCCCCGTGTTGGTCATGATCTGGTGGAAGGAAGAGGAAATGAGGATCAAGAAATCATCTACTTGAGAGCAGACCATGAAGTCAAACTTAACAGTGACACACTGAATATATTAACCTAGAGTGATAAGAGGGCTTGCAAATCAATGAGCAAGGATCATGTCACAGGTATTCAGGCAAACGGAAATTTGAGGGGAAAATCCTTTTAGTTTGCATATTATACCATTTAGCAGCATAAATTTTCCAAAACATCAAACTGTAGGGAAAGGAAGAAAACAGTTGACTACGGTAACTTATCACATCTCTGCAAAGGACTGGACTTTTGAGAGTGAGGGGAAAAAGACAGAGATTTGGTGTCATAAGAAACGAACATTTCCACATTTGTAGTATATTAAAAATAAGCCATATCGACAGGCAAACAACAAACTGGGAAGAAACATTTGAAGCAAACTTAACAGATAAAAGATTAAAATTTTCATTAGATATGGAGCTCCTATAAATCAGAAGTGAAACACTAAATTGATAATTGGGCAAAGAATTCAAACGGCTGTGTCACAAAATAGAAAGTATTACCAGAAATAGAAGGAAAAATGATCAACTTTACTAGTATTAAGAAACTACAACTTTACAAAGAAGGTATCACTCTTCAACTATTATATGAATGACAATTAGGGACAATTAAAGAAATGCTCCCATCTATTGCTGGCAAGAATTTAAATGTTAGTGGCACTGAAATTTAAGAAAACTCTTTTGGAAAATGATTCGGCATTTTATATCAAGAGTCTTAAAAATGTTCATATTCTTGGGAGTAAATCCTAGTGAAAGAATCCAAAGCATGGAAAATGTTAAAATAAAACTAGATTGTTCATTATAAAATTATTACAGTAAAACTGGAACAATCTGTCTAGTATTAGGGGAATAATTAAGTAAAATATGGCATACTCATTTGACGTAATATGTGGCCAATTACATTGATAAAGAATAGAATAATATTTAAAACATTAATTAAAAATCAGCTTATAATGATGTACATAAGCAATACTTTCAATTATGCCAAAAGTACACAGAAAGTCTAGAAGGAAATGAACCCTAAAATGATTAGAGTGGCTATATAACATAGGACAGTAAAACTGAGAGTAATTTTTCTTTTCTACTTTTCAAGTTTTCTGTGATACAGTAATAATTATGTTGATGATTAAGAAAAAATTATTTAGAAAAGAAATCACTGTACAACTGGTGAGATCTGCATAAAGTCTGGACTGTACAGACGTCAACTTCCTGGTTTTGGTGTTATGCTACTGGTGGCGTAAGACGTCACCGCCGGGGAGACGGTGGAGGGTGCGTGGGAATTGTGGAAGTGTCTGCACTCCTTTCTTCAATCTATTTAAGGAGACATGAGATCATCAAATGTCTCCACTACTTTTGCAACTTCCTCTGAATCTATAAGTATTTCAAAATAAAAAGTAAAAAAAAAAAATTTTTTTGAAAATGGAAATTCTATTATTGATTTCTACTATAAAATTCTTTGGGTTTATCTGGTATTTGAGGTAGGTGGAGGGGAAAAAAGGGCCATTGCCTCTGGGAACCGGTGGGCCTCACCTGAGCCCTGGGACACTCACTCCCAGCCAGGGGGGTGGGCAGCTGAGGTCAAAACCTGCCTTGACTGGGGGCGGCGGATGGAAGGGAGGCCAGCAGGCAACGCAGGGCTTCTCCCCAGCCCGCGGCTAGCCCTCGCAGCCCTCCTCACGCCTTCCTGGAGCAGAGAGAACACACCACGTATTCTAGAGTGTTTCAGACCCTGTCAGCCATGCCATGTCCTCGAAACTTCAGAGGACTGGAACATAACTTAAGGTGGGTCTTCTTCCTGTCCAGTGCATGGGGAAACTGAGTCTGGCGCGTGGGCTGGCATTGTCTAGTTTGTCATGAAAATGCCTGAGCAAGGCCCTTGGTGAAGCAGGTTCAGTGCGCAGGCCCAGCAGTGCAGCTTCTGGCCCTTTTGGCTGGCCTCTGCCCACCAGCTCCTCTCTGGGCCCCTCAATTACAAAGGAGCCTTTTTGGGCTGGCAGGGCCTTAAAGCGCACCGCGTCCAACAACCTGAGGAGGCAGAGCTGTTTATACTGAGTTGTGCAGAAATGCTTCAGGGGCTTCAGGAGAGAGGAGAGAGAGGGTTCCTGGCATCCAATTCTACTCATCCAGAGGAACTGCGCTTCCATCTGTGTTACAGATAGAGATTTTGCTTGAAAGAAGGTTTTGCTATTGAAAATGCAGCATATTAAATCACAGTAAAATATGCAGGCCAGGTGCAGTGGGGCTCACACCTGTAACCTTCCCACTCTAGGACGCTGAGGCGGGTGGATTGCTTGAGCCTAGGAGCTGGAGATTGCAGTGAGCTATGATGATGCCACTGCACTCTAGCCCACATGAGCTAGACTCTGTCTAAAAAAAAAAGCCTGGGGTCCAACTCCCTCCCCCTAGGATTTTCAGCTGGACTGATAAGGCAGGACTCTCTGCTATCTGCCGCTGAGCCCATCCTAACTGATAAAGGAAGGGTAACAGAGACAATAGTGATTATCTCTGCCTGGGTAGAATTATGGTTGTTACTTTTAACTTTTAAGTAATAAGCATAGTTTTTTTGTAATTAGAAAAAAGAATAAGAGAAACAAATGGAAAAAGAAAAGGATTCAGAGCATTTTGGGGTTTGGGATTTTCTCTACTTGTTTAGTTGTGTTTTTGTGCACAAGAATATGGACATTGAGTTAGTTCCAACGAATCCCCACTATGTAGTGGGTACTGACTCTTCAACTATTACAGTCAGGCAGAACAGGAATAATTGAAACGTGATTAGGAAATGCCCCAAAGTAGAGGCTAATTTAAAAAAGAATCTAAAAGTAACAATTGGAAACCAAGGCCCTTCCTCCTCTGGTTTTGGTTTTTGCTGTGAACAGAGACATGCAGGAGGCCTTAGACCAGCTGCAAGGTGCCTCATGCTTCTGCCCCTAGGCAGAGTGGGACAGGGGACAGTAGGATCTCAGAGCCCAGCGTGTCTTCAGGTGCATGCCTGGGCCTGCTTCCAGTATAGGAGGGCTTTGGCCCTGCACCGTGACATGACACAAATGATAGGCTGGGTGAGTCTGTCTGTATAACACATGAGTTCTGTCTACGTGGGAAAGTTTCCATGGCCCAGACTCCTGCTTCAGAACCACTGAAGTGTAAAATAAAAATGCAGACTCCTGGAGGTAGGGCCAGGAACCTGCACTTTACCAAGCCCTTTAGGTGAATCTTAGGAAAACTAAATGAATGCGGGCGCCCTCACTTGACAGAAGGGGAAGAACATTGGAAAGGAGCAACTGGCATTCATAAAAGGCATCCCCTCAAAACAGAGTTTGTGTTTAACAAATAGATCAGATGGCTGGAGACCAGGAGTTCGAGATGACCCTGGGCAACATAGCAAGACCCTGTCTCTACAAAACAAATAGAAAAATTAGCTAGGTGTGGTGGCATACACCTGTAGTCCCAGCTACTTGGGAGGCTGAGGCAGGAGGGTCACCTGAGCCTAGGAGTTCGAGATCACAATGAGCTACGATTATGCCCCTGTGCTCAGCCTAGGTGACAGAGTGAGACCCTGCCTCTAAAAAAAATAGATCATTTAGTAATTATGAACACTTCACACAGTTGGAGCTCTCAACTTTCAAATGCAGAATCCACTTCCCCTGAAGTCACCAGTGCTGCTGGAAGGCAGCCCGGCTTGGTGGGAAAGGGCCTGCGAGCCCCAGTAACACTGGGGAAAGCTACTCAACCTCTCCAGCCGTGGCCTTCTCATCTACGAATGCAGATACTAGTAGGATTTGCCCCCTAAGTGTGTTGGGATGATTAAGTTAACTGGAATCGGACACGTGAGCAGTCTGCACAGGGCTTGGTCTGTGGCCATGTGCCTGATTAATATAAGACCTGCCTATTTCTGTTGTTAAAAGTCACTTTAAAATAAATAGAAAAAACTGAGATTCTATTCTAAATATCTACATCCCTTTAACCCAAGTGATGAAGTTATTTAAATCAGGGCATTATATTTAGGAGGAACTGTTGGTCACACAGCACAGAATGGATGGCACTAGGAAAGGCATGAAGACTCAAGGCAGGAGAAGCAGGAGGTGAGTATCAGTCTGGAGCAGCTGACGTTCACAGCCTAAAGAAGAGTCTAGCACGCAGTGCCACCAGAATTATGGGTAGATGACACATTCCATGTGCCCACTGCCACTCTCCTGCAAGCCTAGGAAGAGTGGCTTGCTCTCTTGTCACTGGCTTTCTGAGTTCTCCATGGTCTCCAGCATTTTGCTCGGCCTGGGCTCCGCAGTGCGGAGGAGCTACGTGTGTAGACTCGGAGGGCGAGGACGGGCAGCGCGGCCCTGCAGAGAAGGCGATGGGAACGCCCAGCAGGGGCGAGCTACTGGGTCCAGGATCCTGGGGACAGTTTCCTCCACACCCGAACAGCCAGGAGGGCTGCTCCAGCTGTACCTCCACCCTCACCCTCAAGCTGGTTAGTTCTGAAATCACAGGTGTGTACAACAACCGAGTCGTGGGATCGTGGTCAGAAGGTCTGGGGCGGGGCCGAGACTCTGGGTTTAACCCACATTCGGGGGTCTGGGACTCACTCCGGCTCCTGCCAGCCCACTGACCACGCCCAGCTGTCGCTGACACCACTCCGCAAGAGGGCTCTTATCTGTTTTGTGCTTTCTCTTGTAAACTTCTTGAAGGTAATAGCTGTCTCTTCAGCTTCTACGATATTCTGTTGTGTTAGGCAAATGGCACAGGTTCAATAAAAATTTTTCAAATACAATTTTCTGATAGAATGTTTCAAAAGCAGTATCTTTAGACTCATCTTGAAAACTCTGCAACGTTTCCAGAACTCCAGCAAGAGAGGCCGAGCCCGAGTTTCAGGCGCATATTCCCAGTGGAGCGTCTTCTGTCTTGGTCAGATTTCCTCATTTGGCACACACAAAGAAGTTACAAAGATGTGAACTTCAAGGCCAGCGTGGCAAGGTGAGACCCCCTCTTTGGAAACCCCTGACCCAGCACACAGGGCTGGCAGGCTGGCAATTTCAGGTCATGAGATTAGGATCGAGGAGGCGAAGGCAGTGCCGGGGGCGCGCATCCGACCTCAGCGTCGGTGTCAAGCTTTCTTTTTTTTTTTTTAAAATTCACCATGAATACCTGCTCAGGTGTCAAGCTTTCTAATGAAACTTACAATGTTTACCAGACCCTGTGCGGCCTGGTGCAGTGCACTGAATGGCGGCCCCCAAAAGATTGTCCACATCCTGACCCTGGAACCTGTGAATGTGACCTTATTTGGAAAACAGTCTTTGTAGATTTAATTAAGGATCCCTGTGATGAAGAGATCATCCTGGGCTATCCAGACAGGCCCTAAATCTAGTGACAAGTGTCTTGACAAAGGACAGAAGAGGAGAACACCGAGAGAAGAGAAGCCACATGCAGGCAAGACAGAGATCGAAGTGCTGCAGCCACAAGCCAAGGATGCCTGGAGCCAGCGGCCGCCGGGAGAGGCAGGAGGGATTCTCCCCTTCTAGAGTCTCTGGAGGGAGCACAGCCCTGCCGACAACTCTGCCAAAATCAAGAGATTTTGGGTTCTCTAAAACTGCGAGAAAATAAGTTTCTGTTGTTTTAAGCCCCAGTTTGTGGTCTTTGTTACGGAGCCGCGGGAGACGAAGGCACTGGGCCGGCTGTCCTGGCTGTGCAGCGCTGCCGCCGTCTGCGCTGCCTTCTCACAGCTCACGTCTCCAGCCAACAGCCCGGCACCACTGGACAAGCAGGCACGCGTGCAGTTTCTCTTACATTAGATCAAAACTGTTTCCGATGGTGAACGGATCGCACGTATGCGTCCAGGAGGTTTAGAACTGCCCATTACGGGAAGATGATGCCATTTCAGATGGCATCACACCAGGGTTACTGACGGATTTGAGAGCACTGTCCCCTTGTGCCTCACCAGTTTGCATGATTAAACTTTCATCGTTGTTGTTAAAAATCTTTCCGCTACCAACAGAAGGCCTCGTCCGCAGCACATCACCGCACCGTGTAGGGGTGCCATACATGATCGACCAACGGCTGATTCAGGGTTGTGTCCCACCCGGCTGCAAATGACCATCCTTGCGGACGTCTCCGTGCGTGCATGGCTGTGTCTGGGACTGTGAGGCAGGGGCACACGCACCGCAGGCTCGAGACATCACCGCTGCTCTCCCCAGGAGCCCCGCCCACCTGCCCCCTCTGCTCTCATCGCCTGCCCATGAAGCAGAGCGTCTTGCAGATGCTTCTGTCCTGTCAAACGGAGCGCAATCTCTCTGACAAAGCCAGCCTTCTTCTAATGGGAAACAAAGGCCTAGTCATGGCTGGAGATGTCCATCAACAGCCTGGAACCTTGGACTGCCTCACTTCTGACATTTACGGCACTCCCCACTTGATCTAATGAAAACAGAGCCTCCACGGTCCATTAGGCCCCTCTGATCCTTGAGACTTGCTAAGGACAATGGCAGGGTCCTGCCCAGCAGCCCTGTTCATGGCTGGGGGTAGCTGTGGTTCCCCGCCCCATACCCCTTCCTTCTCTTGCTCCTACAGTCTATTCTCTGCAAAGCAGCCAGAGTGAAAATGTGTGTTTATATTAAAACATAAGTCAAACCAAGTCACTGCCTGGTTCTCAACCTCCTGTGGGTTTCCTAGCTCTTGTAGAGTAAGATCCACAAAGCCCCACAATCTTTCCTTTGGCTGTCCCTCCAACCTCAAGTTCCACCAGCATGTACTGCCCTCCAGCCCAGAGCCCCTGGAAGTTCATAGATGATGAGGAAGGAACGAGGGCCAGGTGACCAGGGGCCCAATGTCTAGGGCATGTGGGAGGGCCTGGCTGGAGGTGGCAATGGGAACAGGCAGGTGTGTTCTGCTGCCACCTGCTCCCATAAAGGCTCAGGCCACCCACACACACCATCTTCCTCCTTCCCAAGTCTCCACTTCGCCAGTCAATTGTTGAGAGAGAGACTGGCTCCCTCCACCCCTCCCATATCAGCCTACCTAATTAGATTTTGAGGTCCATGTTACTGACCCAGCTTCAGCTGCCAGCTTCAAAGCTCTAGGGGCCCCTTTCCATGACCATGACCTTTACATTGTGTGCCTGACGAAGGGCTTCAGCCTAGGTGGGGCCTCAGCCTTTGCAATTGCCCCTCCCTTCCAAAACCTTACACGCCAGCACCCGTCTGCCCGTCACAAGACACCTGCAAGGCCCTGGCACTGCCACCCTCTCCTGGGCGAGCGGCGGCTCCCTCCTGACTCACGCCCTGCCCTGTATAACTGGTGGGTCATAATACAGGGGCTCTCAGTTCTCCTCAGGTCCCCCTGACTGTTCTCGGGGACCCCCTTCCTTCTCGCCCTCCTGACATGCTGGAACACCGCTCTGTGCTCAGCCCCTCCCTCTCTCCGTCTCCACACTCCGCTGCCTTGGGCAACCTCATGGGTTCGGTGGTTTCAGCTACCCTTCCTGTGCTGGTGACTTCCAAACCTATCACACCCTCCCTTCTGGCAGACAAGGCACACGACACTACACAGCGGCGGGCAGGTGCTTATTCCCCAGGCCAGGCACACCTTCAGATGCTACGCGGCTCTCGACGCACGCCTGCTGGTTGTATTTCCCACAACCTCCTTCGTACACCTGCAGCTCTCTCTGGGACAGGTGGCTAGGGCCACCGAGAGCAAATTGGCTACCACAAGCCTTCTCATAAACACGTCCATCAATGTCCATCTAGCCTCTCTATGTCAGGACCCCCCTTCACGTGGCACTTACTCCCAGGTACTCCGTGGTCAGAAGCTTCTCGCCTGAGAGTTCTCCAAGCTGGGGCTGGATCAGTTCGTCTTTGTCCAGGTCAGCTTCCATGGTGTCATGGTCCTCCTGTTTCAAAGGAGACATGGGGTAAATATTCTGGATACCCTGCCACAAGCTCCCTGGTGGCAGCTCCCACCAGGGAGTGCAGCTGCCATGGAACAAGAAGTCCTCAGTTGACCATAGCAACTCGCAGGCTTATGGTCCAAGGGTCTCAGGGCAGCCAGCCCTTTGCTCACAACCTCTCTGTGAAGATGAAAGGAGGATGCCACCAAACCCGTCCTTGAAGCTGGGTGCCTAGGGAACACTTCCTGGCTATAGATGTGTGGAGGTTCCGTAACACTCTTAAGTCTCTCCTATTCACAGTTCTCAGAATTCTCTCTCTGAGGTGAAGGTACCACATGAACAGCCAAATCAATCAGCCTACCAATAACTATTAAATATTAAGCACCTTCACATGCACAGGAACACAGGAAACCATCTATGATAGGTTTGTTCTTCTCAAGTAGTTGACAGTCACTGAGTAATAAGGCTCAGCAAAAAGGGAAGCATTGTTCTGCTTGCAGGAAGACGGAGTGGATGTGCCTTCCCCGTTCCTCTAAGTACAGCTGAAAACACTGGACACTCCCTGCTAAATAAACATAAGACGATCCTGAAAGATGCAGAAAAGAAGGCAGACCAGCTAGGGATGTTGGGACTCAAGGAACAAGGAATGGGACGGATGGTGAGTTGCGCCACCTATGCTAGACTTGGAGCCGAAGAAGCCAGCAACCTAGAAATGTCAACGACGAAGACAAAAAAAGTCCCCCGAAAGCCTGATTCCTCTAGCCAAAGGACCAGGAAAGGGGGAGCCAAGCAGGACAGAAAATTTTTTTAAAAATAACTAAACAGCACAGAAAACATCGTAACCCCTCCCAACCCTGCCAGCAAGGGCCCTGGGAACCTTGGCTTCTGCCCTCAGCAGGTCATGATGAGGCGCACAACACCCCCAGGTGGTGACACCAGAGAAGACCGATAGGGAGAAATTCCATCCCCCATGGGTGGTACCGAGGCCCGTCCTGGTGTGAGTAGAGACAGTGTGGGAGCCGGACTGCTACCTCACAGGGCAGTGTCCACGCCGCCCCCGCCGGGTGGTGTCAGAAAAGGCCGAGCGGGGAGCCGTGAGCCGTGAGCAGGCGTCCCTATCATTCTAGTCAGGGAGGCGCGAGTGCAGGCCAGTGGGGTCCAGAACTCTCCACCTGCCCTGCAGTAATGAGGAACCTCTCCCAGTCTGGTGTCAACAGCGCCACTGTGGAACCGGGAGTTCTATTCATACACCTCTGTATTCACACACCTCTGTATTCACACACCTCTGTATTCACACACCTCTGTATTCACACACCTCTGTATTGAAGGGTAAGGAAGGACAATCTTAAACTGTATGAAAATAGATCCTCAGTAGATGACAGAGATGTTAGAATTACCTGACATAGATTTTAAAGCAGCCATCATAAAAATGCTTCATCTTAAAACAAATTAAAAAATAGAAAGTTTCAAGAACACAGAAAAAGGAGAGAAAAACAAACCCAAAGCAAGCAAAAGGAAGGGGAAAACAAAAACAGCAGAATCAATGAAAAGGAAAACAGAAAAACAATGGAAAAAAATTCATGAAACAAAGAGCTGGTTCTTTGGAAAAGATCAACAAAATTGGCAAACCTCTAGCACGACTGCCATGAAAAAGACAGAAATCACAAACTACCAACAGCAGGAATGAAACAGGAAACATCATGCAGACACTGCAGACATCAAAAGGATAATAACGAACAGCTACGAACAGCTCTACACATATAAGTTTGATACCTTGGGTGGAAAACCAAACCATCACAAGCCCCTCAGCAGAAGAAACAATGTGAATAGCCCTATAACTATTAAAGAAATTATATTCATAATCTTAAAACTCCCATAAAAGTAATCTCTGGGCCCATATGGTTTCACTGGAGAATTCTATCAAACTTTTAAAGAAGTGACACCAATTCAGAAAAAAGAAGAGGGAAGAACTCTTCCTTATTCATGTGATGAAGTTAGTATTACTCTGGTACCAAAACCAGACAAAGACACTGCCAAAAAAAAGAAAAATGCAACTCTCCCTCATCAATCAAGTGCAGAAATCTTTAACAAACAGAATACAGCTATGTTATTATAAAAGAATTATATACTATAACCAAGTTGATTTGTTCCAGTGATGTAGGACTGGTTCAATATTTAAAAACTGAATCACTGTGGCCCAGCGTAGTAGCTCACGCCTGTAATCCTAGCACTTTGGGAGGCCTAGGTGGGCAGATCGTTTGAGCTCAGGAGTTCGAGACCAGCCTGAGCAAGAGTGAGACCTGTCTCTACTAAAAAAAGTAGAAAGAAATTAGCTGGATAACTTAAAATATATATAGAAAAAATTAGCCAGGCATGGTGGTGCATGTCCATAATCCCGGCTACTTGGGAGGCTGAGGCAGAAGGATTGCTTGAGCCCAGGAGTTTGAGGTTGCTCTGAGCTGGGCTGATGCCACAGCACCCTAGCCCGGGTAACAGAGTAAGACTCTGTCTCAAAAAAACAAAACAAAAACAAAAAAACTCTGAATCATACACCATTAACAAGCTAATGCAGGGAAAAACTACACAATCATAATAATGGATGAATAAAAAGCATCTGACAAAATTCAACACCCATTATGGCAAAAACTCTCATAGAAAAGTAGAAATGGGGGTACTGGATAAAGAGCAGCTACAAAAAAACCCTACAGCTAACATTCTACTCAGTAGTGAAAGACTACGGTAGATACTTTTCCGGGAAGATTGGGAACAAGGCAAGGATTTCTGCTCTCACTACTCTTATTCAATATAGTGCTGGTCATTCTAACCAGACCAACAAGGCCAAAAAAGGAAATAAAAAGCATACAGATCAGAAAGGAAGAAATATAACTGTTTCTATTTGCAGATGATATGATTGTCTATGTCGAAAATCACAAGGAATCTACCAAAACAATAAACCTCTCCAGGAACCAGTAAATGAGTTCAAAAAGGTCACAGGATATTAGCTAAACATATAAAAATAAATTTCTATATGCTAGCAATGAGCATGTGAGCATCGAAATCAAAAATATAATACAATTTGCAATTGCTTTCTAAAAAGAAAGAAAATACTTAGGTATAAATCTAACAAAACGTACAAGATTTGTATACTGAGAACTACAAAATTCTAATGAAAGCAATGAAAGAAGATCTAAATAAATGTAGGAACATTCCTTGTTTATGAATTAAATATTCAACATAGTTAAAATACCAGTTTTCCCCATACTGACATACGTTTAATATAATTTCTGTCAAAATCCCAGCAAGAGTTTTTGTATTTATATACAAGATTATTCTAAGATTTATATGGAGAGGGCAAAGGAACTAGAATATGCTAAGACAATTTTGAAAAAGAAGAACAATACGGGAGGACTCAGTCTACTTGATTCTAAGACTTACTATACAGCTACAGGAATCCAGATTGTGTGCCGCTGGTAGAGAGGCAGACGCATGGATCAATGGAATGGAACAGAGAACTCCGAGAAAGACCTACAGGAAGATGCCCGGAGGATTTCTGACACGGTACAAAAGCAATTCAGTGAGGAAGGATGGCCTTTTCAACAAATGGTGCTGGGCCAACTCGGAAAAAGACCGAACCCCAACCTAATTCTTATACCTTATACAAAAATTAACTCAAAATGGATCATGGACTTAAGTTTTAGGAAAAATAGGAGAAGATCTTCAGCATCCAGGCCTAGGCGAAGAGTTCTTAGAACTGATACCAAAAGCACAATCCACACATACAAAAAAATTTGATAAACTGGATTTTATCAAAAGTTTAAAAAGCTTACTCCATGAAAGCTTCTGTTAAGAGTATGACAAGAAAAGCTGCAGACTGGGAGAAAATACTTAGAAACCACATATTCGACAGAGGATTAGTATCTAAAATATACATATTTTGGCTGGGCGCAGTGGCTCACGCCTGTAATCCTAGCACTCTAGGAGGCCAAGGCAGGCAGATCATTTGAGCTCAGGAGTTCGAGACCAACCTGAGCAAGAGCGAGACCCCGTCTCTATTAAAAATAGAAAGAAATTAATTGGCCAACTAAAAATATATAGAAAAAATTAGCTGGACATGATGGCACATGCCTGTAATCCCAGCTACTCAGGAGGCTGAGGCAGAAGGATCACTTGAGCCCAGGAGTTTGAGGTTGCTGTGAGCTAGGCTTACACCACAGCACTTTAGCCGGGGCAACAATAGTGAGACTCTATCCCCAATAAATAAATAAATAAATAAAATATATATATTCATAGAACTCTCAAAACTCAACAGTAAAAAACCCAAACACTCCACTCTAAATTAGAAAATGGGCAAAAGACATGAAGAGACATTTCAGTTAAGAGGATATACAGATGGCAATAAGCACATAAAAAGATATTCAATATCATTATTCATTAGGGAAATGCAAATTAAAACCACAATGAGATATCACCATGTGCCTATCTGAATGGCAAAAATAAAAACCTCGATACCATCAATTGCTGGCAAGGATGCAGAGAAACAGGAACACTCATACATTGCTGATGGAAATGTAAAATAGTTCAGGCCCTCTGGAAAACAGTTTGGCAGTTTCTTAAAAAGCTAAACATGCAACTACATATAATCCAGCAATTACACTGCTGGGCATTTATCCCAGAGAAATAAAAACTTACTGGCATATAAAAATCTGTACATGAACGTTTCTAGCAGCTTTGTTCGTAATAGCCAAAAGCTGGAAACAACAGATACCATCCTGGAAGAGAATGGTCACACACACTGCGGTGCCTCCACACCACAGAATACGCCAGGAACAAAGGAACGCACTGCTGATGGACACAGATCTGGATGAATCTCTAGACAATTACTTGTATGAAAAAAGCCAATGCTCAGTGGTTGCATACTATACGATTTCATTTATATAACATTCTTGAAATGACAGAATTATAGACATGGAGAACAGATTAGTGGTTGCCAGGGGGCACAGAAG